AAATTTTGGAATCGAGTTTGTGAGGGCTGATCGCCACCCATCCGGTGACACACCATGCACATCGACTCAGTTGAGAGGGCATGGTCTGTCAACGGGGGGGGGCGACCATATATATATATATATATATGTATACATATATATATATATATATATGTGTGTGTGTGTACATGTTGTATTTTCTTGCAGAAGGCATAAGGGCATGTACACCCAAACCATGACGAATCGGAGTACGGGGCCACACGAAGCACCGGGTTCTGCAAGAAAAAGCCTGTGAGCAGCATCCCCGGGGATTCCACGGCAGTCTCGCGTTGCCTCTGGTGTATTTTGTGCTGTGTTGCGGGTGCATTGGGGCACGTAGACAAAAAATGTGCAAATCGGAACGGAGGCAAGTTAGGCACTGGATTCCGCAATAAACGAGCCCCTGAGCAGCATCCTGGGGTCTCACGTTGCCTTTAGTGCATTGTAATTCGCCTCGATGCAGCCCTTGCCGGGGCTCGCACTGCCGGCGGAGCCCTGTGCACGCGGAGGGCGACGAGGCGCCTGACCAGCTGTACTGCGTCGTCGTTCCACCGCCGCAACCGAGCACGCGCAGGGTTTGCGCGCCTCCTGCAGCGAACTCGGGGTAAGTGGCGTGCTTGCGCCGGTAGGCGGTGCGCGGAACTGCTCCATCCTGTGTGGCCGCCGGGGTGGGATTCGCCGTCTCGCGTTAAGGGCGAGACGAGGGTCGCATCACAGCAGAGGGCTCCACCCAGTGGTGCGGCACCATAGATGACGAGGTCAAGGCGCCAGCGATCGTCAGGCGCAACGCCCGGTGCGGTGGTCTTTCACGAGGGGCAAAATGATTTTCTACATTTTTACTCGGACCTTTGTTTTGGAACTCGAGGTGCACAACTGCTGTGCACTGGGCATCGTGGCAGGACACGCTGCCGGTCATCAACGCGCGGGCACCCGCCGCTGCAGCCAGACTCCTGCAAGCCCTGCGAGGGGGCACCGCCCTCGTTTCCACGCCGCCGCAGTCACCAAAAGCTGGCAGCGGTTGGCTGCCCGCGCATGCGATGAGCGCGCGTTCGAGACGCACTTTTCTGAACTCTCTCCTGCGTCCCGTGCGCTGCAGGTCTCGCAGGCCCTTTACCGCCCGAGCCTTCAACATCCCGCCCACGCATCAGGATGTCACTATCCCCAGTGCGCAGTTCCGCGTCCTCTTGCTGCAGCGCTTGCACATGCCACTGCCACTGGCGCCGCACAGATGCGCTTGCCATATCGACTCGACACTCTTGGTGACCACCGCGCGTCCTGCACTACTTGCGGGGTGCTGTCAACGCGCGCCTTGCCTCTCGAGCATGTGCTGTCGCGCGTCTGCCGCGAAGCCGGCGCCAGGGTCGCCCGCAATGTTCGGCTGGCCGACATGAACCTGGAGGTCCAGTTGCGGATGCACGGCGTATCGAGGTTGCAATGGCTTACCGCTGTTGCACGGGTCCCAGCTTGCGCTTGATGCCACCATCGTGTCCTCCCTCGCGCGCGGGCTTCACCTATAGGTGCTGACACGCAGCCAGGCCGCGCTGTCAGCGCCGCAGCGCGGCGCAAGTGCCACGATACGTACTCTGAACTCGGCCGCGCTCGGAGGTGCCGCTTGGTCGTCATCGGCACGGTGCTGCACTGCTCGGCCCGTCTCCCGGCAGCTGCGACCTGCAGCGACGCGCCATGGTCCGGCACGAGCTCCTCGCAGAGGCGCGCTAGCGGCCGACCGCGAGGCCCGCCAGTAGAGGTAGCTCGCAGTCTGCACGGGGACCGCTCGTACAAACGGCTCGTAAAAAGGTGCGCTGAAAACAAATTAGGGCCATCGCTCCTATTCAGAATCCGGGCTCGGTTGTCGCACGCCACCCGTGTGTACAGCAGCCTTGCTGCAACACTTCATGGTTATACCTACGCCGAGCCGGACCACAGCTGCGACACGCCGGCAAGTCTGGCGTGCTGTGCTATGCTGTGCTGATAGGTCCAGCTGCTCAGCTTTTAGCTTTTGAATTGAGTTTCTGCTGATGGTGCCTATGTGAACCCAGCTTCGTGGGCCTTCGCTCAGCAGGCCTATATTGGGTCCGTCACGTCCGAATATGGCAGAATATTTTACGCCACGCGTTCAATTTTGCATCCGGCAGCGCACGTCTAACACAGGGGGGATACGTGTCCCAGATGTAGCAACTAACGAGTATTTGAAAATTTCTGAGTGCCAGCTTCTTGGAACACAGTCTCGTTGTGCACGCAGCTGGGCGAAAGCACGGCTGTGAAGTGGGTGGGCGGCGATGGAGCCCCCGCGTGCGAGCCCCTGCAAAAGCAGTGTCAGCCCGCCGCTGAGTTTCGTGTTCCCAGTCGCTGCCCAGCAAGCCGTCGTTGGGGCCAAGCCGCGCCCGCATATGCCCGCCACATGCTGACGCGCCGGCCTTGGATGAGGGCCTGGACCTGGCCGACCCGGAAAGGCCGAGCCGCTTGTCGATGTGCTGAGACCTCCCTAACCCGGGACCGAGCTTTCCCAAGAGCTGGCCTGAGGAGTGTGGTATGCCGAAAACGAGCATGATATGCATCAATTTTGCGCAGGTCAGCTTGACAAAGCCAAAGCAGAAAACGCGCAAGCCGAGAAGGTTTGTGGCTTCTGTGCACGCGACAGATGCGCATGCTTCCAAACGCGGTTCAATGCATCGAAATCTGTTCTGGCCATCCCAAGCCGACGATTCACCTCCGAAATGATAGAGCCGGACTTGGAAACCACATTGCGAAGGTAATTTCACCAGTGACATTTTTCTCTTGATGGGTTCGCCGTTTGGCCCTAGACGGTCAACGTCACAATCGGCAAGCCGTGAAATTAATTTCAAGCCTCAGGCAAAGCCGCAGCGGCAGTTGGTGTCGGATTAGGGTTCCCCGTCAACACCAGGGAGTGGGTGGGATACGTCGCATCTGCGTAGCCATCATGCACTGGCAGCTCTGCGACAAGCTCCCTGTCCCTTCCAGTCGTCGTGGGCCGTACTGACTGCCGAGTTGTTGCGGGCCTGGCGGTGGTTGGTAGTTGGAACTTATTGGGCTTCGACGTGTGGGCGAAAATAAACGTGCCTTTGATATCTCTGCATGAAGCCGTCACCAATTCTGCGCCGGGCATTCGACAATGATGCTGTTGGCAGGCGTAGGCAGCCGCAGTGCAGCTCCGGCCCCCTGCCGCTGCGGATTTCCGAAAGTTGCTAGCCAACGCCGCTTGGATGATTGGATGAACCCTGCGGACGCAGTGAGGAACGAGCACAACACATTTGACTGACATGCGGCCGTTGAATTGTATGGTGTTGTTGCGGCATCATGCTGCCTCAAATCAGTGTGCTTAGTACCTGCACCACTGGTGCCAGCAACATCTTCTGCCAACTCCTGGCTTCATTGATATTGGCTGTCCGTAAACATCCGTTTGTTTACCACTCAACGCAGCACGCAAGCAGTACATCAGAGGAGCTTGGCTTGCACGTGGCAGCACCCGTTGTCGGGGTCGTGGTGCAGTGGTTTCACTTACGTTTGCCAGCGGCAGCCACTGATGTATACGCCCTGCTTTTTTGCCACGGCAAGTATGCCCATTGCAAAAAGCATCGTGCCATGCTACAATCGCTTGAAACTGGGCTTTGAGTGTGTGCACGAAGGTGGAGAAACCTGGCCGGCCTGACCCCCGACGCCCGAATGACGATGGGGTCATGGCAAGGTTTGCCGCGACAAACATGCTTCGTGCCGACCTTCTTTGTGCACGGGGTACTGTGGCAATGCATGTGCAAGAGAATCTGCGGATGATGCGCCTGATGCACAGCTTGCAGCAACCAGAACTTGCTTGAACGCAGGTTGCGCTTTAAGGTTTTGAAAGGGAAACTTGGTTTTTGCAAGGCAACCTAAAGCCAGGTTTTTCCTGGCGTCCTTTTTGGGCTGATCCGGACCTTGTATTTAGCGCAACTTGCTCACAACACCGGCCACAAAAAGACATCAGCATTGCTGATTACTGCCACGAGGTCGGGCGGCCGCCAGCGAAATCGACACACTGAAAATGGCAGCATTCAGAGACGCCGTCGATCTGGTGTCATGGTCGACGCCTCCACCCGATGCCGATGCTAACCTTTGCTCCAAGGAGCCACCAGACCTAACATATGGCTGTTGCTCTGAAATCGCCGACGGCGCCCGTGCACGCCAAATGAACATGGCCTTGTCGAGCGTGTGCCCCTGCCACAGTTTCACTGTTGGAAGCATTTGGAACATGATCGATGATGACAGTGATCCTGCTTAGTCGATGCGATCGAACGTTCTAGCTCAAGTGCGGGAAAGCCTGCCGTGAGCTCGACCGCGGCAGGAGGTGTCGCTTGGTTGTGTTTGGACTTGTGGTTGGTGGCCGCTGGGACAGCGAAGCCGCCTCCTTCCTCCGCCTCCTCGCACGTGCTCACGCTCCCTGTGGACGACTTTGTGCAGCCGGCGATTTTGCCGAGTTGCTTGCAGACGCTCGTTGCCAGAGCGGGCCTCAACCGAGCCGCGTCCCGGCGCGCCCGCAGCAGCGGCGGCAGTGCAGGTGCAGGTGCTGACTGCGTCCGGCGGTGGAAACAGGTCAGGGTAAAGCTATAAATGGCGCTCCTGCGAGCACAAAAAAACCTACAACTTCAAACGCGTAACATGTCCATGGTGACGCCTGTACAGCACAAGGATTCCCAGTCTGAAGGAATCAAGGCCAGGAAAGAAAGGGGACTTGTGCAGCGACCTCCCCCAAAACCACAGGCGACCGAGAGCCCTCGGAATCAGATGTGCACTCCAGGACCTCAACTGGCACCGCCGTGAAAACGGACGTGGGTTGGGACAAATTGGGTTGGGGAAAATGCCACCAAGGTTGAAATAGTTTGATGCGAGTTGTATTTACAACTTGCTCTGAGGTGGCTGCTGCAGCACGAGATATCGCAGTCCGTGGGACGCATCTTCACAATGCCTTGGTATATTGGCGTGCCTGGGCTATCACTGGTGCATGTCGCACCTCCGGCCATACCAAAAATGATAAGCAACTCGGAGCCAGGAAGGAAGACAGACATCTCTTAATTGAAGGCCTCCTGCGGACAGGTGCGTTCGCGGCCGATTGTCATCGCTTGGCCATCGGGCATGCGGACGATCATGCAACCTTGGACCAGGACCCCAGACTCGTTCTTGAGGTTCTTGTTGTTGTTGCTGTTATTGTTGGACTCGCAAGGACAATTTGCTCGCTAGGTTCAGGAGGCCTTGAGCCTGTGTCACGAGCGTCCGATGGAAGGAGCAGCCGCCAAGGGATGCCGCTACCCGACGAGACGAGAAAATTGCACGCCACAAGCGGTGTAAGGAAATCGACGCCAAGGTGTCGTACTTGTTGCTTGGTTCTAGCTGGAGGTTTCGACATCGTCAATGCATGTGTTATCCTTTGACCCATGGAGTGCAGATCCGAGGTTTCAAAAGAAGCAAGAATGTCTCGGAGATGAATACTTTTGGGGCACCGGTAGTGCATTCGACGAAGACATGGCAGCTTGCATGCAGTGCGGTACCCGGCCAGAGCATGACAAGCAGAGTGATGCAATGCTTGCGGCGAGGAGCGTAGCTTGATCACGATGCTGCTGAGCAAAGCCCTCGCATCAGATCCATGCTTGCAAGGTGGACATAATTTTGAGTATACTGAGGCACTTCACTTCCTGAAGCAAAAGATTTGATTTAAGTGTAGCCCGGAATTGGACGTTGTTTAGGAAAGTTGGGTAAGCCTACTAGGAAGAGAGCTTGTATCTGCCAGTGCCCGAGACCCTGTGAGAAGGCCGGTATGGTGCTTTTGATGACGAACGCTTCGTCCCAGAATTGCCGTCATATCACCGAATAGAGAAGAGCACTTGATCAGATTAGCGCATTCGCCATCAACCACAGGCTCCAACCTGGCCTTGTGGCTTCGTTTTTGAGCTGCGTTACGCCCAAGCCTACCACAACAATGAACGTGAAGACGCAGAAATGGAGTTGGTTTGCTAGTCTATAGACGACACGCCGATCAAAGGTGCCAGATAGCATATCTTCAGCAGAGCAAGAGCTGCCGCTGCTGGAGATGATGGTGGCCTCAAGCTCAATCTGTCACAGGGTTTTCTGCCGGAAGGGTCCAGGTCCAGACGGGATTCGTGCCAACCACAGGATGCACTCTTGAATGAGGCACGGGGAGGTCCTAGCGAGGAGGCCGTGAAGCCGAAGCCGCCGGTTGTGAAGCCTGCTTGTCTTCGGATTCAGGCCGGCGAAACCCTAAACCCTAAACCCTAAACCCTCAACCCTCAACCCCAAACCCTCAACCCTACCCGCAGGTCTGCCATAAGTCATCAACCCTCCCACCGCAGGATAAAGCCGAGCTGCAACGACTCTACAGAGAGATGGACTGGACCTCGGCCTTGCGCTACATAATATAGAGAAAGCAAGCAATCTACACACATATAATATATATATATATATATATATATATCAACATGTGATACATAGATATATGTATATATATATATATGTAAGTATATAAGTTTATATATATATATATATATATACACATATGTATTGTGTATGCGGGAGTGCTGGAACAGTGCCATAGCAGCTCCGCCGAGGTGTTTCAATGCCCACATCCACAGGCCACCATGTCCATCGAAGAAGCGGCCGACCTGGAGATAGAGGAGATGCATGAAATCGAGGCAGAACATCTTGTTCCGAAAGGAAAATGTGTGTCGTTTCGGAAAGTGACGCTGACTTGCGATTCTGAGGCTGCTCGGGCAAGGAGGCAGGTCGAGCAGGAAGCCCACGATGCGGACAGATGGTGTTTCGTCGCATATCCATCTCTTCGGAGTCCACATTCCGTTTCAGCTTTGGGCTTTGAAGTGGCAACTGTGTTTTGTACTTTGTTGTGTATGTGTGTGGTTGTGCGTGTGCGGGCTTTGCATTGTGCGTGCAGGCAGATGCATGTGCTGGCATCAACCTTGGCCCACCCAAACCTCGCGCCAAGGTGGAATGGGGATCGATACGGAGCCAAAGAGGAATGGGAGGAAAGCGAGAAGTTGCAAGCTCAGGGTCAGTAAGCCAATCTTCGTCATGAACCGAAATCTGCTGCTTGTTATCATTCAGCCTGCCACAGGTTGTACAAGGATCGGGAGCCTCGGCGGCAGTAGGACTTCACGGCTTCATCAAACGAGTTGGCCGTACCATCTCATTGACACTGAGCCTCAGGATTTTGACGAGTTCAAAGATGACCACCCGTGGGGATCTGGAAACAAAATGGCCAACATAGGATAGTTGGAAATTATGTCCGCAGAGCTTCGTGTGCGATTGTCTACCATGTTGTGGCCACATGCGGACTGAGCTCTGTGGCAATATTCTTGACCGACGCACTTGATCGACGATGCATGTACAGGTGTCCCGCGTGCAGCAAAAGGTGTTGCGATCATGCCTTGCCCGCTGTGGACCAAGACAAGAAATACTTTGCTGATTCCCTAAACCCGAAACCCTAAACCCTAAGCCTAAACCCTCGCAGTGGGGCCTTGCCTGCCTTGTGCGGGTGTGGGAGTCGAAACCCTAGTCAGTCAACTTCTGAGGCACACGTGGAATAAGCTTCAGTGGCGCTGAGCGTAATTTGTTGGGGTGATATCGCCCTTTTTCTAGTGCACGCCCACGAAGCGCAGGGAGTCTGCGTTCGGAAGCTCCCCTACTGCACCTGTAAAGAAACCTTCAGCCTTGTTTCAGAGGTCTTCGTCGCAGCCCCGACATGTGACTTCGACCGCGTTGATGGCAGCAGTCTGTCAGCACAGGACCCGTGACTCGACGGAGACCGCAGAGATGCTACTTAAGATATGATAGAATACAACAGGGCAGTGTATTATATAGTATAATAGTCTGATATACTATAATATAATCTCGCATGCTAGAATAGAGCAGAATATACTATAGTTCACGAATATTCAAGAGCAGTCACGGAGCCGTGGAGGAATTCCGGGACCGGTTTCGAACAGGCCCGTTGAGCAGCAGCCTTGGCTCGCGAGTGTCTGGTTTAGGGTTTGGGGTTCATCCTTTCTGAGATTTTTTTAGGGTTTAGGGTTTTGGGTTTTCCCGGAAGAGCCCGACACGTAGACGACCCCCCATTCGCCAGACGCTGCCCAGGTGCTGGCAAGCCAGTTGTCTTCACAAATGTTCGTCATGACCTCAATGCCTTTGCTGTTAAATGTCGCTGTTGGATTGGAGGGGAATTTGTGTAACAAGCCCATGGCGGCTCAAGACAGTCTTTATGGAGGTTCTCGGGCATGTCCGGCTACCCGTCGGCGAAACGGATGCTATTCGAATAGCACAAGTCACCGATGTGCACCGCTTCCCGGGGAATGTTACATACTGGGACTGCCCGAAGGGTCGACGGATGCAGTTGGCAAGTCAAGACTACAGCCAGACTGGCGATATCGAGCTGCTGCAAACGGTAGTGGCCCGATGCAAGCCTCACTTCGTCGTGTTCACTGGTGACATCATTGATGGGCGACCCTTTCACGCAAGCACGCCTTCGGCATGGCAGGCGACTTTTCTGGAGCTGCTGGAGCCCGTCCTGAGATTCGGGTGTTTCGGAAAGTGTGAGAGCATGCTTGTGACTGCTTGTGTACTTAGTCTGAGTCATTTCTCACCGAAGTTTATCTGAAGAGTGTGTGAGGCTACGCTGCTTCTTTGTTCGTGTGGCCCAGGCTGCCTTGGACATACATTCCCGGAAATCACGACGACGATGGCTCCCCATGGGACCGAGCTGATCTTCTGCAGATCTACGACCTCCCTGGCTGCGCGTCGCAAGGTGCGAAGCAGTTCAACCACACCTTCACAATAGGACCCGGAGATCTAGCAGATGATGCAACGTCCTTGCGCTTGTGGCTCTTCGTGCTTTGGCACTGTTTAGTTGCATGTGGACGGTCACTCCAGCGTGCGCTTGTATTGGCCGTTGTCGTAGAGATGCTGAGTTCAGAGCATCCAGGACTCCGGGGGCAACAGCTCAGATCCATCCATCGGCATCTTTCGCAGCATCTTATGCTGTCGAGTCCTCGCCAACCGGATAGGAAGTTGAATGTCGTCCATACAGTGTGCCAACGAAGGATACGAAACCTTCACCAGCGAGGCGGTAGACGCGTTCCGTGAGCTCTCCGCGACGCTGCCGCCTTGCCCTTCACTCGTGTACTTCCACATCCCGCCTCTTCACTGAGTTAAGTCGATGATGGCTACTTGATCATGGCCTGGGATGGAGGTTGGTGATTGTTGTTGGGCTGTGGCTTCAACGCGAACCCTCATGTTCGTTTCACACTGGTCCTCGCCCTGTTACTTGGAGTGCGCCATCGGAGGCTTTGACAACGGGCTTGTGCCTTATGCGTCGTTCGAGCTGTTGCATGGGTCGGATGGTGTTTTAAACGCACACTTACAGGATATTCATTCCAGAAGAACCGTTGGATAGGTGCGTGTCTTACCTCTTCCGACCATGGACTGGATTCCCACTTAGCTGGAAGCATCAAGATTCATTAGATCATTATACAGCGGCTTGGTGTGTTGTTTGCAGACAAGCAGAGGGGTGGTTGGAAGCGATCTAAATCGGGCGGACTCTGGCACTTTCGTGGCATCCAAAACGGGCCACACCTTCCTTGCCAATAGGTAAGATGGTGTGTGCAACACAGGAAATCGGTTGCTGCGGCAACAACGCCAGCTTCCGCGTTGCCTTTCCGCCCAAATCTTCCTCTGTATTGCGTGCTGTCGTCAGGCGCCACTCGGCAGGGTTTCCCTCAAACCAAGTGCATGTACAATGTACTGGTACTATGTACTATCCCAACCGAACCGTTTTGCAGGCGATATGATGCTTCTATCGCTCTACTTCAAACTTCGGTTTACGCATCCAAGCGAGCGCGCGCAATTCGTCGACGCTGAGGAGGGTAGTCCATCCCCCCTGAACCCTAAACCCTAAACTGCTAAGCCCTAAAAAACCTAAACCCCTAAACCCTAAACCCTAAACCCATGTCGGTCGATCTCCCGCTGGCCATGTCTGACTTCGGACCGCGCCTGCAACGCATCGGTGTTTTCTTACGCATGCCAAGCGTAAGGTAAGCCCCAAAGCCCAAACGCAACACTCTAAGGTTGCCGGAATATGGGAATCTGGTGCCAGTCCACGGCACCCAGGGTCTCTTTGAGGCGGCGTTGAGTGCCCTGGGCTCAGGTATCAGGTATCAGCCCATGCATGTTTGACAGGTTCATAGTTTCACCATATTATGTCGTTCCCGCGCTGTAACTGCTTGGTCCTTGCGCTTTGTTGGTGATTGCAACCTGGTTGAGGCCACATGCCCGGTTGCAGAGAAGACTCGCATGTTTACACCTTTGACGACGCTGCCCAATGTAGCAAATCAGGCTGGCATGGTCCCTCGCCCATGGTGTTGGATGCCCTGGCTGGTGCGAGCACTTGGACAGCATCGCGTTGTTGGCTGCTCGAAGCTGAACAGCGGACGCTTTGACTGAACTTGCACTGTGCACCTTGCAAAGCCTCAGCTGCAGCTGTAGCCGCCCACCAGGATTGTTTGATGCCCTTGCCGACGCAAATGGGCCCATCTTGGCGACGTTCTGCGGCCATGACCATGCGAATGATGTTCCTCGGCTCAGTGTCAGTCAGGTGGAAGCGGATTTCTCGTTTCTTGCCCAGGCGGTTTTCCAAAGAAGCGGCATCTTCCTGTGCTACGGCCGAGCAGCTGGGCTCAGATTATTTCTCTTGTTGTCTTTGCCCTGCCTTATCCCTGTGCTGGATTCTTTGGAATCCTTGTTTGCGGCTCTGGCCTCCAGCAGTGCCATCCTTGGAAAGTATCAGCGGATCCAAGAGACTTTCGAGGGCCGTGCAGTGCCCCGAGGTGAGTGGCAGCACACCCCCAGTTGACTGGGAGGGGGATGCGCCGCTGCCGTTTGAACCTGGCATCCGGCTTGCAAAGTGCTCAGCTGCAGAGGATGTAGCAGTGCCTACTTCTGCTTGAGACTTCAGTGTTTCGTGCACTGTGCATTGATTTGTGCATCGGTGACTAAGGTTGAATATGCTGCCAAAGATGCGACATTGGTGACGTGGATCGAAGTCAAGACAGGTATTGAACTCGGCAGTCGCTGCGTTTTGGATGCAAAAAATTACGCGAAGCCGGATTTGGAACAAGAGCCAAAGGACTGCAAAACCTGATTGCATCGTTGCCATCTTAGCTGCCGCCTTGGGTGCTTCCATTTGGCTGCCTTCAGCGGTTGTTTTGGCTCAGACCTGCCTGCAGCCTAGAGAGCGGGGTGCTCGTGCCCAGTGCCTCCCTCAGATTTCGCTCAACGACGCAGGAGGCAGCACTTTAGCGTATGGGAGTTGCCCTGTGTTTGGTGGCTCTCTCCGAGGCGATGACCGACGGGCCATGTGCTCTCAGCTGCACTCAAATATATGTATATCTCAACGCTGGGCAAGAGATAATGGGTTTCTCATTTTGTTGTGACATACCATCGAGGTGGATGCTTCGAGGAAGGGAAATCATCACGCGAATCACGTGGTGACAGCTGGGTGCAAGTTGGTTCAGGCACTGCGGAAACTGGGCAGCTTCAATCCAGCAGTGTGCGAACCCAACGTCCCGCAGGCAAAGGCGCCTATGAGAGGGTGACGAGCCTCAAGTTTGTTGGAGCTGGAAAGGGTAGCATTGACAAGGAGCGACGTTTTGCTTGCAGATCGAGAGAAGCCTTGTCTCTGCAGCAGCTTTGCCTGCTGGAAGGAAGTGGTGGTCCCGAATCGATTCGGCGGAGTATTTGGTGCAGTGGTATGTTTGATGATGGTTCCCGTTCTGATAGGCTCGGGCAGCATCTTCCCCTGCGTGCTCTCCCTCGCTGATGTTCCTATCAGTTCCCATGCGCGAAACCCAGCTGCAAGGCTTGGCGTGGATTCTCTTTCTCGCCAGAAAACCTGCACCTGGACAAGACGCGGGGTTTGACGTCGTCCTTCCACCTGCTGTGCCGGACTGTGTGCGCATCCCAGTTTCAGCAGTCGGAGTCGCCTTGTGGGGCATGAGGGGCATGCTTTTTTCAAGTTGTGCTGTGCATCTTTCGCAGCAAGGACGACGGATTCAGCAATTGGAAAAGTATCTGGGATGAGGGGAAGAAGAAATATTGCTGCTCCCATCTCGGAAGAGGCTGTCCAGAGCCACGCGTGAAGATTGTTCCGAAAGTGAAGTACAACGACGTGAATGTCCCAATCCCGTACAAAGTTCATGTTCGGGTTCCTGTGCCCACTGTGGTGAACAAGAAGGTCGTCGTAGAGGAGCCGCCGCCATATACATGCGAAAAAGACTCGCCCGTAGATTCGTGGAGCTCGCGACATCGACGCTACTGCTGCTACCTGAGGCAGTTAGGCTGCCGCCCGCAGATCGTGAACCACAATGTGTACCATAGAATTGTCAAGGTGAAAGAAGTCAAGGTGCCGCACTACTTGCCACCAAAGGCATCCAAGACCAAGATCACATACAAGAAGATACCGTACCCAGTGCCTGAGGTTCCCAAAGTTCAGACCGTCAGAGTCCCGGGACCTGTAATTGTCAGGACCAGATATGTCGAGGTTCCCAAGATTATACATGTTCCAGCACCAGGAGATGTCGAGGTAGTGCGCAAGCCAGTTGCGGTATCGGTACCTTCGAAGCCTATCGTGGTGAAGATGCCTCCCATCGCGGGCCATCGTGACGACTACAACTGCCATGCCGGTTACTCCAACTGGTATTTCGGCTGGTCTAAAGTGAAGAAGGATTGGTGTTGCGACCATGAGGAGAGGGGATGCCCTGGCACATGGCACGGAAGCCTTCACATCCATCATGTTCACATGTCGGGTGTGGGCACTGCCACCGGGAAAATCTACGACTGTGATGCTGGCTTCTCGAACTGGCTTCAGGGCTGGTCTGACTCCAAGAAGAAGTGGTGCTGCAGTAACAAGGACAAAGGCTGTCCCAAGTACTACTGTGATGGGGATGACAGCAGCGACTGGACGGAAGACAAGCAATCATGGTGCCAGGGTCTGCATTTGGCATAGGGGTTTGTTGATGTCCCTGTCAGTCCAGTGCCCCGACGAAAAGAACGCCTCTCTCAGGTGCTGCGAGACCTTTCAGAAGGGCTGTGCCAGCACGACGCTGTCCCACCTGGGCTGCGAAGCACCTTGCACCCTGCATGGCGAAACCTCGACGTGCAAGAGTCGAATGCATTGGGCTCGAGGGAAGGTTTTCGGGGGCAAGGCCAATGCTTGCTCCTTGGCATACAGCAAGATTCAGGTGGAGTGTGATGTGTGCAGAGCTTGCACCATACAAGACATCGGCTGTGATGTGCATGTCGCAACATCCGCTGCCTTCGATTGTGATGCAGCATTCAACAACTTCTTCAGAGCATGGTCGCCCGCGAAGAAGCATTGGTGCTGCACTGTGAAGCACAAAGGTTGCGAAGGGAAATCGCCACCACATGTGGATGCCGGTTTTGGCATGGCTTGGAAAAGGGTTCAAGTCAACGGGTTTTGGGTGTGGACTGCAGTGCACGTCGGAGGCGTGAGCATGCCATACGACTGTCATGCTGGCCTGATGCACCACCTCACCGGCTGGTCACAGGGTAAGAAGTCTTGGTGCTGCCAGAACCAGCACTTGGGCTGTGGGGCATTATCCACGGCGACGCATGCAACGCACGTGACGACTGTGACGCATGTCTTCCACGGAGGTGCAGGGGCTGGGGCAGCAGCCGCAGGAGCAGCGGGAGGAGGAGCCGGAGGCGGCCATGGCAATCCCCCGGGTGTCGCTGCAGATGGGATGGTTTGGCAGTGGCATAACCACTGGATCCAGGTCCACGCAAATGGCGACTTGCCCTTTAATTGTGGTGCTGGCCTGGCGAAATGGAAAGTTGGCTGGTCAGCACCAAAGAAGCAGTGGTGTTGCAACCATGTCGGAGTTGCCTGCCTTTAAACAAAAGGCGGATTCAAGGTGTGTGAAAAGATCTCACATGCAAGGCCAAAAGTGCAGGTTCCATGAGATTCAAACTGTATCTTTGCATGATCGCCGAACAAAACGGCTTAATTCGAAAAGCACGTGGACTGTACATGCTTCCATCAGTCTGCAAAACTCGCAGCGTGTATAGCAAAAAAATCGCATCTGCACAGCTCTCGCCTGCTGATGTCGTGAGTGCTGGTGTTTTGCTTAGGTGGCAGATGCACGGGGACGAGAGACCGCTTGCAGTGAATCCCCTGTTGATGTACACTTGAGGCTTGGGCGCAGGCTTGAAGAGCAAGGCAATGGGGCCTGCATCTGAAACGGAGCCGCGAGCTGCGTCGAATACCATATGGTACAATTACACTCAGAAGCCCTAAGGAAAATCTAAAATTAACTACCGATACTATAAGGGATAGTATTTGGTGATTTTTAAGGAGCAAGATACTATTCGTTACCAAAATTACAGGGGATCGTCTTGGTGATTTTTTTTTTAAGGCCTCTTTCTGTATCTGCCAGGAGAAGCATGGAAAAGGCGCTCCACCGGAGCATGAGCCTCAGGCCGCAGCTCGGGCCGCTGGGGCTTGGGGAGGTCTTTCTTGGGGCATTTCGGGCTCTCCGGCAGCGACCGGTAATAAGAGGGCTTGGGGTTTAGGGTAGGGTTTAAGGTTGAGGGTTCAAGTCCGGTTTCAAAAGGGTAGGGTTTAGGGTTTCGGGTTTGGGGTTTAGGGTTTAGGCGTGCAGTTGCCTGCTGCCCAGCTAATAGCAAAGAGCCTGGGTTCCAAAAACAAGGGTTTAGGGGTCCCCGCTGTCACTGTCACGACGGCAGCCTGGAACGAGTCAGCTGTCCTGGCGTGACGTTGCAAGCCAGTTGCAAAAAAGGGTTTAGTGGTTTAGGCTGCGCTCCAATCAAACCTGTGTAAAAAAAAGGGGTTTAGGCTGCCAAGCATGACTTAGGTATTTGCGTCGGCTGTCAAACGAATTTCTGGCCACAGACTGAGGCGTGGTGTCAGACATAGGACATAGGAGCTCGACATCTACGACTGTGAGTTCCAGCACAAACGAGGAACGACACTGTGTGAGTCACAACTAGAAGTGCAGCCAATGAGCGAGTTTGAGCTACAGTGAGTGCGTTGGATAAGAAACGCCTGTAGAGGAGGCAGGGCACCCTGCATTTTCTAATTCATTCCTAGTGGGCGGCCCGGGGCACACAGAAGGAACATGAGGTCTCCAGGGGCTGAATTTCTGATTTTCCGTTTGGGCAGTCCGGCCAAAAAACAGGGAAATAGGAACTTCAGGGGCTAAATTTCTTATTTTCCTCTTGCGTGGCCCTTCCACTAGTTGTTTTGGGGCGAGTTCCGAAACTCTCGCCGATCTGCTGCAGAAATCCTAAACCCGCCCAAGCGAGCGGATGTCAAGTCTTCACCTCTACTGCTTGCCGTCGGGAGAATTCCGAAACTCATCGAAACTCTCGCCGAGTTGCTGAAGAAATCCCAGATCAAGTCTTCAACCCTCCACCATTTGCCTTCGGGCGAATTTCGAAACTATCGCCGATTTGCTGTGGAAATCCTTCCAAAGTCCAGAAATCCGAAACTGCCGTGAGGTGCTTCGAGTCCTTTGTTTCTGGTCTTGGGGGCAGCATCCAGGAAATTCGACAAGAGATTGGCTTCCGGGGGCAGGGGGCGCTGAATTTCTGAATGTCCTGTTGAATTTCTAATTCAATGAAAAAGTGCTGGCGCTGTAGCTCAGCTCAACATATCGGGCTGAACAGAGGCAAACTGCATTGAGGCCCCTTTCCAAAGCCCAGAGCACACCTGCCCCACGCCCCACACCCCTGCCATATCCTGTGACACCGTGGCTGATTCGGATGGGTCATGTTAGCGGTGTTAGCACCACTCTGCGCTACGTGGTTGCCCTGCACTGATCAAAGTCTGATGTGCTCTGAAGTATTGCATTCTCGATCTCTTTCGATGTTTTTTTTTACCGGTTTATTGTGGTCTACTTCTTTCCCGCCTTTTGCTCTGCATCTTTGTTGCTCGCTCTGTCTTCTCTCTTCTCTCTCTTCTCTTCTCTCTTCTCTCTTTCATCTCTCGGTTCTCTCTTCTCTCTCTTTCAAGCTCCTGCCCCCAAGGATTCTGCGGAACTTGTGGGCTGTGAACACTCCGAGCGGCCCAGGTCCCTGCTTGCTGCAGAGAGCAGAGGCACCGCTGAAATGGTCGCCAGTCCTTGCGTCCATCAGTTGCTATGCATCAGGCTCACTGAAGAAAAGCCACTGAAGAAATAACATAGGGTTTTGGCGTATATGTTATATATACTGTTAATAAGTATAAGCAGGATCTCCCCAAATTAGATCACGTACTAAGCCGGTTTCGGCCAAGGCAGTCAGGAATTCGGAGTAGCAGACAGATCTGCAGGTGCCAGTCCTTTTGGTCCAGGCTTGGGGCATGGCTGCGACAAGATTATTCGGAGGATCATGGGATTTAGTACCTAAAGTTATAGATAAATTAACTGTAGTTCTACTTACTTACTTGCTTACTTACTTACTAAGTCCCATGATCCTCCAAGTAGGGATTAGGGATGGGCGGCATCTTTCTGTGGTCCCTGAGGTTGGGATCCGCAGGTGCTGGAAGCATCTCTTGGCCATTCCATGGTGAGGCCTGGCCAGTTGCATCAGGAGCCATGTGTTCTTGGTGGAAGTTCCGCCAGGTCGCAGCAAGTAGTGGCCCGGACCTTAGAGTTGGTGGGTTTAGCGTTTAGGCCTCCAGTTCGGAGAGACCTCGTTCAAAAAGGGTTTAGGGACTTTGCACAGTGTCGGCTGCCTCAGGTTTACCGCTACGAAGCAAATGCTTCAAGGTACTTGGGCTGAGACTGTGCTTTTCGGGGTGTTACGTGTCTCCCTGCACGTCGCTCCCAAGTCAGCACAGCGTGCACGGCTCCAAACAGTGTGTCGCCATTTATCCGAACGATCGTGGACAGAATCCCAAATCTGAACATCAACGTTGTTGCCAGTTGCTGCTTGTCCTGCTTATTGCACCCACGGTACAGCATGATACGGCCATGAGCGCTTCTGCCATGTTTGCAGATGTCACCGGCGCTGTCTTGCTTCAGGCTCTTCGGCTTTTTTCAGAAACGAAACCATCTCTTGCTGGTTCTACAATTCAGCCACAATGTAGAGCTGCCCTTGTGAATTTGCATGGGTGCAGCTCTACTGCAACGGCCATGGGGGACATGATGCAAATCCGAAAGCACTGATCGGGAACAAAAACAGGGGGAGGGGTCGGCTTCCTGAGTCGTCTTTCAGTGGACGACAGACATTACCTAGAGACTCCAAAACCCCTTAATGAAGGAATATACCTTAAATCATATTAGGGATCCTATTATAATTTAAGGTGTATTCCTTAATTAAGGGGTTTTGGAGTCCCTGGGTACTTTCTGCATGCTCCATTCGTGGGCACTCCGCGCTGACGATCGCAGCGTGCTTTCGGTCGTGGTGCTGGACCGTCCTTTGGGTTTCTTGCTGGGGAAGCGGTGGGCGCTACAAGTAGGCCTCGGGCACCCAACTGGCCGGCAAAGTTAGGAACGCCTTCATCCGAAAGTGAAACCTAGAGACTCCAAAACCCCTTAATTAAGGAATATACGTTAAATCATATTAGGGGGGATCTTATTATAATTTAAGGTATATTCCTTAATTAAGGGGTTTTGGAGTCCCTGAAAGTGCAGGTCCGGAGACGGTCAAACATTCAAGCGACCCAGGCTTGTTGGCTCTTCAGGCTTCTCTTTCATGGTCGAAATCAAGCAAAGAAACCCTAATCCCCAGAACTTTCCTAGGTACATTACTCCTGTGGTTCACTCAAGGTAAGCTGCTATTCGCATTATTTTATACTAGCCAGATATTATAAAGCAAATGTATTACTTGTTGAGCCCTACGTTTATTCACATTTTGACAAAGTATATACCTACCAGCTATTATTGTTTGAAAATTCACACGTGTGCTGCACGATTTGCCATGTGATGGCTTATTCAGCTAGAGCATGTCTTCCTAAACACAAGCTGAAGACCGAAGAGAATTCAACATGTTTTGGCTGCATATTAAACTTTCTACTCGATTCTACCCCTCCTGTTTAAGTTTTATTGTTGTTGGTACTTATTCAACGAGTTTGTCGTTGTTCTCGCTTTCTTGTATGCTATCCACTGAGAGCTTTGCGTGTGTATTCTGGGTTAGTTCATCTCAAGCCTGTGCATCATTTGAGTCATGTCCATCCTATCGAGCTTGTGGTTGTTCTTTCTTACAGAATCGTTCAGAAATTTCGCACCGAATAAATGATGACCACTAAAGACTCCTGTATGGCAGAGTTTTGTGGTGACTTGCTTGTGTTGCGCTGGATAATGCTGGATAGCTTTCTTTACTGTACGCCCCGGTTAAAGCAATACAATCATTAAAGACCCCCATGCAAACGTGAAGCAACACACGTTATACATTTACTTTTAGAAGAGTGTAAGTTAAGCCAGCACACCTTCCGTATGACACTAGTTTTCCCACGGTGAAGTCTTCAACCGTAGACAGAGAGTATAGTTCCGTACACGATAACGGATGAAGACGAACAATGAAGTTGTCGTCGTATAGTAACGTCTTCACGCAGAGATTAATCCATGGTCCTGAACAGGACGAAAGATGTTGTGATCGCATCGCACGAGTACATATGTGTGCCCAGCGACTTCGCGTTGAATCCGGTCAGTCCGTCAGACTATTAAACTAGTGATTAGACCGACTGATCTGGTCAAGTTTTTGCATTTATCAGACGGGTACCAAAATCCTATCAAGATCAAATTCCGTTTTCCTAGTTGTACGATGCCGTTGGGGGGAAACAAGCCAAGGCTGAACTAAACGAACTTCTGGACGTCTGTAAGTCTCCTTTGCTGTGCTGCTTAGTCTAAACAAAGCAACACGCAATGGTCAAACCGCAACATTCCGTATTCGAACGGATTCCGTATTCAATTGAATACCCCTCGGATGCAAGATTCAAAATTCAAGGTGCAGGGCAAAGTTCTCCTGGGCACTTCTGGGCACCTTGAATCTTGAATCTTGGATCCGAGGCGGATTCTAATGAATCGTTTGAATCCGCTCAATCTTGTTCCACAGCGAGAGTTTTGTACTTAAACGGAAGGAAGAAAGGTACGATCTGGAGGCAACCTCTCCAAAGTTCACCCAATCTCAATAACCAACACAGTCCTTAAGGCGACATTTAACAGACAGGTGTGGGAACGTGAGAGAGGGGGTACCATATATATATATATATATATATATATATATATATGTATATGTACATATATATATATACATATGTATATGTGTATATATATTTATGTATATATATATATGTATATATATATA